TGAGAGTCCCGGAAAATTGTTTTTTTTTGGTATTTTTGGTTTTTTTGGTTTTGGTTTTTTGGTTTTTTTTTGTTTTGGTTTTTTTGTTTTTTTTGGTTTTGGTTTTTTGGTTTTTTTGGTTTTGGTTTTTTGGTTTTTTTGGTTTTGGTGTTTTTGGTTTTTCCACTGTCCCGTGTATGCGATTTTAGTTGTATTTTAGTCTACGCCCTAGGAAATACGCTATCTTGCACACCGAGTTTGCTTGCAGTGCAGCTGGGTGACTTGAGACAAGGCGAAAAAGGGTAGGTCACTGGGGGGGGGTACCATATATATATATATATATATCGTCTGACCATAATTGAAAGGTTAACCTCTTTTGCCCAGGGTACTCAGCAACCAGGGAAAGGAATCGGCACAGATGCGGGCGAGAAGAGGGTTCAGGCTTCAGGGTGTTCTCTCCCGCCGACAGTCGCCCTCAGTGGCCGATGCTCCTGCGGATAGCCACTCTCGGGCCTCCTGTTGTAGCTAAGCCCGAAACCACTCCTGCAGGAGCTTGGCGTTTAGGGTGTAGGGTAGCAGGGCGCGGGTTTAGGGTCTTGGAGCCCTATTGAGGTGCATGTTGAGGGTAATACATGGTCGATTAATATGGCCTTACCTTTCTTAAAGAGCTCTGCAGGATGGGCCCTTGGCTTGTAGGGGTGCATATGCGAGGTACATAAGGGCTCTCAAATGAAGGGTCCATACTAAGGGACCTCGGAACTACCCCTAAGCCCTCCAAGAAATGGCTTGATTATGGTACTATGGAGGGACGGAGGGCTACATTTTTTTACGGGAATCAAGGGCGTGAACAGGTTTAGGATGCTGGGTCTGGCCTACTTGAAAGTCAATTATGCATGTTGGGTTTAGGGTCTAGAGTTGTGGGCACAAATCCCGTGAACTTGGGGTCGTGCCCATGGTCACGCCGCTCGACGCCGACCATTTCAACCGGCTTCAAGGAACGAACTCTTTCAAGCGCCCAAACCCTACACCCGAAACCCCAAAACCCTAAACCCTAACCCTAAACCCTAAACCCCCAACCCTTAATCCTACACTGGCTCTACAGAGCAGCACCCAAGAAGTCAACGTAAGTTTTCTTTAATACTCAGAAAAGCAGCCCCGAGGCCGGAATAGAAGCCCAAGGGAGCCCTCCAGGGTTGAGGGTTAGGGTCTGGGGGTTCCGCCGCCCTTCTTGAAGAACCCAAAGCCCCAAAGTCCCATAACCCCCTAAACCCTAACCCCAAACCCCAAACCCCAAACCCTAAACCCTAAACCCTAAACCCTAAACCCCAATTTATAAACCCTTACCCCTAAACTCTCGCCACTGTTGCCGTGCCATGGGCCCCCCCCTCGAGCAAGGGCTCATTGAGGCGGCGCCGTTGCCGCATCAGCCGGGCACTCGGCAGGGTTTAGGGTTTAGTGTTTAGGGTATAGGGTTTAGGGTTTAGGGTTTAGGGTTTAGGGTTTAGGCCGGGTTAGGCTCCTTAGACTTGGACACCTTGGGATCCCCCCCTCCCCCCAAACGTTCCTCCACCCTAAGCCCTAAAGCCCGTACATTTGAAGTGCCGAAAAACCCTTTAAGGTTTAGGGTTTAGGGTTTAGGGTTTAGGGTTTAGGGTTTAGGGTTTAGGGTTTAGGGTTTAGGGTTTAGGGTTTAGGGTTTACCCCAACCCCCAAACATCCCTAAATCCCAACCCCCTAAGCCCTAAACCCTACACCCTCCTTGGTAGCCAAGCAGTGCCCTTTTTGCCTTTTTGTTGGTTCTAGGTTCACTGCATAAAGCAGCCAGCCCACGAAAGGATAAGCTTATGATGGTATGGGTGCTGGGCTACGAACCCTAAACCCTAAACCCTAAACCCTAAACCCTAAACCCTAGATCCTAAACCCTAAACCCTAAACCCTACACCCTAAACCCTAAACCCTCAAGCCTAAACCCTAAACCCTAAACCAAGCCGGCGAAGCCCTGCGAGCAGGCCCGAGCGCCGACAGGGTGCCCTGTCGTGCTGCGGCATGCGCCCGCGGGCGGAGGCCTACTTTGTGCATTCTTTTGGTGAGGAGAGTTGTTGGTTTGGGGATTAGGGTTTAGGGTTTAGGGTCTAGGGTCTAGGGTCTAGGGTCTGGGGTCTGGGGTCTGGGGTCTAGGGTCTAGGGTCTAGGGTCCAGGGTCTAGTTGTTTGAGGGGTTTGCGGGTTTTTTAGGTTTTAGGGTTCAATAAGGGAGGGGGTTCATGGGAGGAAGGTACGTTTGCAATGCGAAGGAAGCTTAGGGAGCCTTAGGGAGTAGTGGGGAGTTTTAGGGAACCTTGGGTTACATAGCCCCCCCCCCCCCCCGTTGAATCCCCCTCCCTTAAGAACCCCCGAAAATCCGTTAGGTTTTCAAACGGGGCAGCTACGGGATCGGGTTTTTGGGCCAGGGGGGTTGTAATATTAGGGGCGGGGGGTATTCATATCATTAGCGGAACGGTTTTATCTGGGTCCCTTGTTCCAAGTGCTTTCGCGGTTTTTATTTAGACCTTGTTGCATGGAATTGCTGAGTTTGTGGGCGTCACGGAGTTCCAAGCTTGCGATGTCCCCCGCAGCAAAAGCGAAAGCAAACCAAAACCCCCCAAACCCCCAAAACCCTTCCAAACACCCCACCCTCCCGAAAGAACCCAAACCGCTTTCTGCAAAAGCAAAAAACAAAACCCGACAACCCCCCCCCCCCCCCAAACCCGACAAAACCCGACAAAACTCCGGACACAAACCCTATACAATGTCTCTAAGCCTTAACCCTAACCCTGAAACCCTAAACCCTAGCCGAAAACCCTAAACCCTAAACCCTAAACCCTAAACCCTAAACCCTAAACCCTAAACCCTAAACCCACAAGGAGGAGAAGCCGGCCCCCAAAGTTGAGCCGAAGCCCGAGGAGGTGCGGATGAGGGCCTGGGGTTGGGGGTCTCGGGTTAGGGTTTAGGGTTTAGGGTTTAGGGTTTAGAGTTTAGGGCTTAGGGTTTAGAATGTAGGGTTTTGGTTTTTGGGCTCAGGGGTTGGGGATTACAGGGTCTAGGGTTTAGGGTTCAGGGTTTAAGGATTACAGGGGTTAGGGGGTGACGAGGTCAGGGTTTAAGGTTTACAGGTTGTAGGGTCCAGGAGTTATGAGGCCTAGGGTTTCAGGTTTAGGGGTTTCAGGGTGGGGGATTGGAGGGTCGAGGGTTTAGGGTCTGAGCGTTCTCATGGGGGGGTTAGGCTTTGTACTAAGGAATCTTGGGCTGTTTGGTGTTGCAGGGTCGCGTGTTTGTGTTTTACCAAATCGAACTTGTAAGGCTGTAAGGAGCGGGAATGGATATTAAAAGTTCGAGGGGTGCTGTGTCATTCGGTCACCTGCGCTTTTTTTCACGGATGGAGTTAGGGATAGTTTGAATTGCTGGTGTTTCCTGAAATTGAAGCGAATCTGTCATATATATATATATACATATTATCTCTCTCTCTCTCTCTCTCTCTCTCTCAGTGTTCCCCTGAACCCTCAACCCCCAAAGGCCCAGACTAAACCCAAAACAACAATACAGATGTAAGTATATATATATAGATATAGATAGATAGATAATGTCTTAAGAATCACAACTAGTAATAATTCTAGTAATTCAAACAACATTAATAATAGCAATCAGAATAATATCAACTTAATAATGGTAGTAATAACAATAATGATACTAATTTGAATGATGTATCCTCTTAAGGTTGTCATTGTGGATGTGGGTTGAGGCGGCATCTTGGGTGTGGAGCTCATGGGCTCAGGGGTTCGTGCCTCACTTTCTTACAGCCCGGCGCGGCGTCTCTTCCATCTTATCCTAAGCCCTGGAGCCTGAACCCTGAACCCTGAACCCTAAACCCTAAACCCTACACCCTATAGCGCCTAAACCCTTAATACGATCCTAAGCCCTAAGCCCCGCAGTTGGACTCGACGGTCTCCGACCCCCAGCCCTTCAACCCTCAGCTTAGAAGCTCCAAGTGGTTTAGGGTTTAGGGTATAGGGTATGGGGTTTGGGGTTTAGGGTTTAGGGTTTAGGGTTTAGGGTTTAGGGTTTAAGCTCAGGCTGATACTCAACCAAGAACCCTGAGGTAAAACCCCTCAACGCGACAGCTTCCACAGAAGGACTCTTAGAATTAAGGCTGGGTACGGGGGTTCGGCCTATATGGTGAAGCGATGTTACCGCGATCTAAACCCTAAACCCTAAACCCTAAACCCTAAACCCTAAACCCTAAACCCTAAACCCTAAACCCTAAACCCTAAACCCTAAACCCTAAACCCTAGACTTGGAGGATGATGCAGACAAGAAGGGGCCCAAGAAGGTCATCTGGGATACAGCTGACCTCATGCCACTCTGCTTAGCACTGGTCTTCAGTCACGAAATCTTCTTTTCTTTTGTAAAGCCCTAAACCAACCCTAAACCTTAAAGCCCTAAGCCCTAAACCCTAAACCCTAAACATTATAAACCCTAAACCCTAAACCCTAAACCCTGCCTAGACGAGTAAGTCACAGAACTACCTTTCAAAGGGGAAAATAAAGGGGAAAGTACTCCCTTTTACAATGGAAGTCGCCTTACCCTCAAAAAGTAATGGGCCACATTTCCCCTTTTGTTAGAGTAGAGTAAACACTGAACTCCACAAGCGGTTCGGATGTGCTTTCGAAATCAAGATTCATCAGTTGAGTGACCCATGCTGGGCAGCGACATGAGGGTTGTTCCATAGGTTTAGGGTGTAATCAGGGTTCAGGGCTTACCTTGGGGGCGACATGAACCCTAAAGGGGTTTATGGTCCATATACTTTAACGGGGGATGGAAGAGCATAGGGTATATGACCCCAAATCGTAGTTCGTTTAGTTCTCAGGGTACGATGCCCTAGACCCTAGACCCTAGACCCTAAACCCTAAACCCTGAACCCTAAACCCTAAACGCTAAAGGGTGAGCAACCGAGGTTTATGGTAGAATCTGTGTGCTTCGGGGCTCATGGGTGGCATGGTGGCGGACGGCGGAGGTTTGCGGGCAGGGTAGCTCCAAATTGGACTCTCAGAAGAAGTACTGCGGTCTAGGGCTGGGTTTAGGATTTAGGGTCTAGGGTATCCAGAAAGGGACCCGATTTCGAGCAACCCCTCCAACATGTGCGTGCAGTGCATGCCACAAGAAGAACCAATCCGTTGAAGCCGTTCCACGCCACGGTGAGCTTCACCGGAGGGCGCTAAACCCTGAACCCCAAACCCCAAACCCTAAACCCTGAACCCTGAACCCTGAACCCTAAACCCTAAACCCTAAACCCTAAACTGTGGCTGAGCCGACAGCACTTGGATTTTGACCCGATTGTCAATGGAGGCTTGTAGTGCTGCAGCGACGGCTGAGCCAAAGAAGACCCTAAACCCTAAACCCTAAATCCTAAGCTGAGCCCAAAACCCCTGGCGCCTGGTACTCCTAAGGGTCCATGTACCTTATGTACTTGGGCCTTAAAGTCCCTAACTAGGAGATACTTTAAGAGCCAAGTATTCCCTATTCAGGTACATGGACCCTTGGCAGTAAGGCTTAGTACACGCGGGCGGAAGCTTCATGGCCTTCTATGGCCTTCGGTCAATTCGGCGAGGCGTTTGTCCGAGACGTCAAAGCAAGACAAGCAGAACCGGGAGGCCTTCGATTTTTGGTCTCAAGACTTGCAACAAGGGGTGTCTTGGCCATGTCTCCAGGTCCACTGAACTAGCGTTGACGTGCATTGCGCCCTCCAAACTACATCGGCGTTAAGAGGCGCACGCTCACTCCGCCCTTTCGGTTCTTGCCAATATATTCAAAGGCCGGATTACACAGATGATGCATTTGAGGCCGCGCGCTCACGAACACGCGCGCTCCGAATCTAATACATCCACTGGTGCTTTCAAGGTGTGCGCTGCTTCCTTGAGCTCTTGCTAGGTGTTTCGCTGCAGCTGTTTTGAACATCAGAGCGCTGCCATACGTCCGCCGAGCAATTGCAGTAGGAAACCCGATGAGCACTCTGAGTGATGAGGCTAGTGATGGGCCTAACTCCGAGGCCAGGTGGGCCCCCTAAACCCGAATCCCTAAACCCTAGACCCTAGACCCTAGACCCTGAACCCTAAACCCTAAACCCTAAACCCTAAGCCCTAAACCCTAAACCCTAAACCCTAAACCAAGCTTTGTAGAGTTTTGCGCAGAGACTTGACCACACTTAAAGCCGATTGCAGGTGGAGGAGGAGGAGGAGAGCCAACCTCCTCTGATGCTGTTGTTGCAGCCAAGATGCAGTGTTTAGGGTTTAGGGTTTAGGGTTTAGGGTTTAGGGTTTAGGGTTTAGGGTTTAGGGTTTAGGGTTTAGGTTTAGTGTTTGGGGTTTAGGGTTTAGGGTAGACATACCCGGAAGCTAGGTTCATAATTAGCCTTCACCCTATCCAACAATATCGTAACAGAATACTCGAACAATTGAAGTATATATTCACATTCTCATTCTGTCATTTAGTAGTATGAGCACTTGCTTATATGGGCGTTATCCGCAAACCCTTGTCTTCTTTTTTTTCATGGCGAATATTTTATATAGATTTCTGCTTGGTTTTTAGTATCCGCGAAAGGCCCGCGAAAGCGCGGCGGAAGGCGCCGCGAAAGGGATAATCTGGTTGATAAAATATCATGCCCCTTAACCCTCAAACCCCAAGCAAGTGCGTTTAGGGACCGCCCCTAAACGCACCCGTGCTGCAGGTTTCAGCCTATTTGTGGTTCATACTGATAGAATATCCTGCCCGCATGCGTGTGCGTTTAGGGACCGCGCCTAAACGCACTCATAGTGCAGGTTTCAGCCTATTTGGGGCTCATATTGATAGAATATCCTGCCCCTTAACCCTCAAGCCCCAGCGAGTGCGTTTAGGGACCGCGCCTAAACGCACCCATTGTGCAGGTTTCAGCCTATTTGGGGTTCATACTGATAGAATATCCTGTCCCCAAAGCCGCAAACCCCAATGCGAGTGCGTGTAGGGACCGCCTCTAAACACACCCATAGTGCAGGCTTCAGCCTATTTGGGGCTCATATTGATAGAACATCCTGCCCCTTAACCCTCAAGCCCCAGTGCGAGTGCGTTTAGGGACCGCCTCTAAACGCACCCGTTGTGCAGGTTTCAGCCTATTTGGGGTTCATACTGATAGAATAATTATCCTGTCCCTTAAGCCTCAAACCCCAATGCGAGTGCGTTTAGGGACCGCGCCTAAACGCACCCATTGTGCAAGTTTCAGCCTATTTCGGGTTCATACTGATAGAATATCCTGTCTCTTAAGCCGCAAACCCCAATGTGAGTGCGTTTAGGGACCGCCTCTAAACGCACCCATAGTGCAGGCTTCAGCCTATTTGGTAGAACATTCTGCCCCTTAACCCTCAAGCCCCAATGCGAGTGCATTTAGGGACCGCGCCTAAACGCACCCATTCTGCAGGTTTCAGCCTATTTGGGGTTCATACTGATAGAATAATTATCCTGTCCCGTAAGTCTCAAGCCCCAGTGCGAGTGCGTTTAGGGACCGCCTCTAAACGCACCCGTTGTGCAGGTTTCAGCCTATTTGGGGTTCATACTGATAGAGTATCCTGTCCCTTAAGCCTCAAACCCCAATGCGAGTGCGTTTAGGGACCGCGCCTAAACGCACCCATAAGTGCAGGTTTCAGCCTATTTGGGGTTCATACTGATAGAATATCCTGCCCCTTAACCCTCAAGCCCGAATGCCAATGCGTTTAGGGACTGCCCCTAAACGCACCCATAGTGCAGGTCTCAGCCTATTTGGGCTTCACACATACTTTGTTTTGCTCCCCGACGAATGCGTTTCAAACGCACCCATATGGGGCTTAGGGGGTTTTATGCCTGATGCCTGAAAGCATTCGGGGATCAGTGGCAAAGTGCGTTTCGGAAGGCTTCAAAAATGCACACTAATCCCTGTCGAGTGCAAAAACGCAGGCTTGGATGGTTGATGGCACGTGCTGGAGAGCAAGATCTCCGCGACTGACCGCGAAAGTGCTCCCTGATTTCACGCTGTTTCTGAGAGGAAGCGCGCGCTGAAAATGGCGAAAGGCACGCGAAAGGTCCGCGAAAGGGACGCGATTGGGCGACAGGTCCTGGAAAGGTACTGGCCAGCCGTGCTTCCAACTTCCATTGAATCTGGCTGATAGAATATCATGCCGATTAGCCCTCAAACCCGAAACGAGTGCGTTTAGGGACCGCGTGCAAACGCACCCATGGTGCAGGTTTCAGCCTATTTGGGGTTCGTACTGATGGACTCTCATGCCCGTGCAGTGCAAACGCACCCGTGGTGCAGGTTTCAGCCTATTTGGGGTTCGTACTAATGGACTCTCATGCCCCTGCACACCTCAAACCCAAGTGAGTGAGTTAAAACTGCACTATGGGTGCGTTTAGGGGCGGTCCCTAAACGCACTCGCATTGGGGTTTGAAGTGTTCAGGGGCATGAGAGTCCATAAGTACGAACCATAAATAGGCTGAAACCTGCACTATGGGTGCGTTTAGGGGCGGTCCCTAAACGCACTCGTTAAGGGGCAGGATATTCTATCAGTATGAACCCCAAATTGGCTGAAACCTGCACAACGGGTGCGTTTAGGCGCGGTCCCTAAACGCACTCGCATTGGGGGTTTGAGGCTTAAGGGACAGGATATTCTATCAGTATGAGCCCCAAATAGGCTGAATTCTGCACTATGGGTGCCTTTAGGGGCGGACCGTTTGTCCAGAAGCGCTGCTTTCAGCACATTGATTCCCCTTCTTGGGATGAGAAAGCAAAGTGCGTTTTGAGGGTCCTGGAAAACGCACACTGGAGCTTGTATTTGGTTTTGTCGACCACTTGTCCACAAGCATTGAAACCAGCACATTGATTCCCCTTCTTGGGGTGAGAGGGCAAAGTGCGTTTTGGGGGGCTTGGAAAACGCCCCCAGCTTCCCTGCTGTTTGTACTTGGTTATGTCGACTACATCATCGACGAAAACTCTATGATAGTTTTACGTCTCCGCGAAAGGGCGCGAAAGGTCCGCGAAAGGCGCGGCGCTTGGTGCTTTCCTGGGAACAAGAAAATCAGACAACCCCCATATACTAGTATAAAATATAGTATTCTAACAATATGAGGTTATAACCTTAAACATATAGTATAAGAATCAAATAATATACCAAAAAAGCAAGATCAAACATGGTAATATAGCACAAACCCTACGCCGTACTCTTTCCAAGGCAACTCTGCGCAGTCAGCGCCGTCGAGGGCGCTGACATCGGCCTTCTACCCGCGGTGACCTTCGCTCTGCAGCATGACTTGCACTTGCGACTGGTGCAGATTGCAAAGATCCTTGGGGACGAGACCCTAAAAGGGTTTATGGTTCATATACCTGGGAATTATAGTAGTAATGGGTATATGACCCCAATTTTAGGGTTCATTTGGTCCCCAAGGATGAGTGTGGCCCAGGCCGTGACTCAGGCAGTTGCAGGACCTGTATGGGGCGTGCTGGCAGACCGTCGGGTGTGCCGCCGGAAGACCTTGCTTGCTATCGGTGCTTTCATCCAAGGTGTGTGCACCATAGCTCTCGGTTGGACAGAGGACTTAGCCGCGATGGTCATCATCCGAAGCATCAATGGAGCAGCGCTGGCAAGCCTTAAACCTATTTGCGTGGGCATCGTTGCCGACACGACCTCGGAGAATTCGCGCGGCAAGATCAACGGTTACCTGGTATTTTCTATGATACTTGGCACGATGGCTGCGACATCGATCTGTGCGCCATTGGCCCGTGCCACAATATGCGGCATTCAGGGCTGGCGAGTGGCCTTTGCCTTTACAGGAGCTATCGCCATTTTCACATCCATGCTTATCTCCGTCTTCATGTATGAAGCCCGGCATGAGAAATCTTGGGACAAGGAAGCCCGCCAAAAATGCACCGGCGTGGGCCGAGAATTTTCAAAATTCTTTGGCTACTTCCGAATGCCAACATTCGTCGTCATGATTGGACAGGGGCTTTTTGGATGCATTCCTTCAAACGCTTTCAACTACGCTACCCTCTACTTTCAGGTGGCTGGCCTGCCAGACGCTTGGTCTCCCAGTGGTGCCCTAGACCCGAAACCCTAAACCCGAAACCCTAAACCCTAAACCCTAAAACCTTAAACCCCAAAAAGGGTGCCCTTACTACAATATGGCTGCTGGGCTACCAAGGACAAGCAAGCCGCCGCGCTCATGACGGCATACCAGGCATCCTCGGCCTTTGGACATCTGCTGGGAGGCTGAGGGTTTAGGGTTTAGGGTTTAGGGTTTAGGGTTTAGGGTTTAGGGTTTAGGGTTTAGGGTTTAGGGTTTAGGGTTTAGGGTTTAGGGTTTAGGGTTTAGGGTTCCTTTTTCTACTTGGTTTCTGTCGGGTTCTTCGGGGGAATGAGGGGATTAGGTACTGTACCATATATCCCCCATCTATATATACATATATACTGCGAGAGAGCCTTTGAGGGATTCTATGTGGCACTTGAAAGATTAGTTGGTCGGATTGGTCGTACGTAGTCTTCAATTGCGTGAGAACCAGTAAGTTGTTTCTTGCTGTATACCTTGGGGACCAAATGAACCCTAAAATTGGTGTCATATACCCATTACTACTATAATTCCTATTCAGGTGTATGAACCATAAACCCTTTTAGGGTTCATCTCGTCCCCAAGGTAAGGGTCTATTGAAGTCCTTACCCTAAGGGTCCATGTACCTAAATAGGGAATACTTGGGCCTTAAAGTACCTCCTATTCAGGGACTTTAGGGCCTAAGTACATAATCATAAGGTACATGGACCCTTAGGGTTAAATTTTCCTTGGACTGCTGAAATGAATGGGAGCGAGGTTTCACACATTTGTTGTTTGGCCATCAGTTCTTGGACTTGTGCTTTGGCACGTTGTTTCTATCCTTGCTGCGTTTTCACAGGGGATATGCACGCATTCCTTGCCCATCTTTTTCTCCCCGGATGGTTGATGCGGGGCGGCCCACAACCCACTATAGTGTTTTGGGCTCAGGGTTTAGAGCATGTTGAGTAGTGTGAACTAGCTTCTAAGCATTGTGCAATTCCTGGAGGTATCATTGGCGATGCGCTGGCTAGAAGGTGTCCCTACCATGGCCGTGCTTTTACGGCAAACATATCAGTGTTATCCGGAATACCCTGCGTCTTCCTCATCTTCATGACGCAGCCCTCAGAGGAGTATCGACTCATGTGGTATCTGTCTTTGCTCATACTTATGGGGCTGACATCAACATGGTGCGCGACAGGGGTAAACCTCCCCTTGTTGTCAGAGATCGTGGATCCAGCATCTCGAAGCGGGATTATGGCATGGGAGACCGCCATGGAATCGGCGATCGCAGCCTTTGCAGGTAACGCAGCTGTCGGATATCTGGCCCAAGGCGTGTTTGGATACGATCTCGTTGATGCAGGTTCTCAAGCTGAAGGCCACCACAATGCCGAAGCTCTTGGGAAGACATTGGCTTTAACGTCTGTGTTACCATGGAGCATATGCCTGTGCTTCTACGTCTTCTTGCATTGGGCCGTTCCATACGACAAACGGCGCATAGAGGAGGAGAAGGCGAAGTACAAGATGGTCAGCGAAGGCTCACTTTCAGAGATCACTCTTAACACTGACGAGTCTGACGGATTCGTCTTGGACAACGGGAAAGAAGAGGATGAGAACCTGGAGTGGCTGAAGCAGTGTTGAAGCCATCAGCCCGTTCACCCTCGGATGGAGGGTGCCCTGGGTTCTTGTCGGTTTTATATGCGTGTGGACATAACGGGCGTGCAGCAAGAACAGCGAGCGCCAACCACGCGTAGTGAAGGTTGTACAGGTTCCTCGAAAAGCATGGGAAAACGCAAAAAAAATACCGAACAATAAAACCACTCCCTCTAATTTTTCAAGGATGACTACAAGCCCTAAACCCCAAACCCTAAGCCCTAAAGCCTAAACCCAAGCTAGGTCAAAGCCGTATTGACTTTGCTTGAACATGAAAAGCAGCTAACGAACCATGCCAATGGCATCGAGCCCCAACATTCGCCAGAACCCTTCAAAAAGGGCATGGCTTCTGTAGCTCATGATCATGTTTGCTGACTGGATGGACTATTGCCCTAAACCCGAAACCCTAAACCCTATAAACCCTATAAACCCTGAGATCACAAGGTGGTGGGATTTCTACAAGCGCCGCTGGTCCACGCTGTGGCTGATGCGGACGATGTACAACCGCTACAAGAGTGTCCTGGAGCCTTTTTTTGGAATCCTCGAAGAAGAAGGGTTTAGGGTTTTGGGTTTAAGGGTTAAGGGTTTAGGGTTTAGGCCGGGATTTAGGGCAATAGTCCATTCAGACTCATCCAAGCTGACTCAGTTCGAAGAGTGTCAAGACACAGCAGCCAGCCTTTGGCATCGTACGGCGAATGAGAATACTTGCAGATGTAGGGCGACGAAGGTTGTAGGATCTCATGGGGTTTGTAGACTTGTCCGTTTGATAGCGTTACTCCAACTTGAACGCTCAGCCCATCTTAATTGTGTGGTTCCGCACCGGGGTGCTAGGGACTTTCATTCGCATCCTCCTCTACGCCCCAACTGCCGAAGCCCTAAACCCTCTGCCCGCACAGCGCGAAGCCCTAAACGAGGAGCAGACAGAAGGCCTACCAGAAGGACCGGAAAGAGAGGCTATCTGGCAGGCGACGTGGCTTGAGACGATATTGTGGTTTAGGGTGTCGGGTTTCGGGCTTGGGGGTAGGGTACAAACGCCACACATTCAATAGGGTGGAGGGTCTAGGCTTTTGAAGGCTTAGTGCTTCCAAACTTGGTTGTGTCGGACGTTTACAGTTTACATCATATTGTCTTTAATGTATACAGGGGTCATATGGGGAGGGTTTAGGGTTTGCGGATAGGGTTAAAAGATCATCGGCGGAAGGCTTGGGATTTAGGGTGGGGTTGAAGGGCTGCAAGTCAGTCTTTTAACTTGAGATTTGCCTCCCGATCTTATGCCAGTTTTGCGAGGCTGAGACTATCTTGGCGTTTAGGGCTGAGGGACCCCAAACACCTAACCCTCAACCCCAAAGCCTATATTCCCAAACTTAGGGTTTAGGGTTTCGGGTTTCGGGTTTAGAGTTTTGGGTTGGAGGGCTACGCGTTGCGACGACCGGACTGAGGGACTAAAGGCACCCTACATGAAGGTTGTCTGTCATAATCACGTTCAGGATATAAACCGTATGTATGTATGTATGTATGTATGTATGTATGTATGTATGTATGTATGTATGTATGTATGTATGTATGTATGTATGTATATTACTTATTTATTCATTCATGTATTTATTTATTTATTTATTTATTCACTTATTTGTTTACATGTACACATGTTATACGTATGTAGGCCAAAATCCTGTTCAATTTTCATGTGGTCCACAAGTCTAAAGTAGGAAGTTGCAAGTCGTCAAGAACCTTCCTCCCCAAACCCTAAACCCCAAAGCCCTGAACCCCGGCCTAAACCCTAAACCCTAAACCCTAAACCCTAAACCCTGAACCCTGAACCCTGAACCCTGAACCCTGAACCCTGAACCCTGAACCCTGAACCCTGAACCCTGAACCCTGCACCCTAACCCTAAACCCTAAAACCTAAACCCTAAACCCTAAACCCTAAACCCCATCTGGGCGACTAGATTTGGGGTCCCTTGTGTTCGTGGGGGTCCCTTGTTTTCGTAAATCTCCCAAAGTGCCCCTAAACCCTAAACCCTAAACCCTAAACCCCTAACCCCTAAACCCTAAACCCTAAACCTTAAACCCTAAACCCTAAACCCTAAACCCTAAACCCTAACTTCTCTAAGGAGTGCCACATGAAGAGTGCTGTGGAGCTCAAGCACCATGCGGAGACGCGCCCGCATTTAACGCCGCAGGTCTTTCCCTTTTAGGGTTTAGGGTTTAGGGTTTAGGGTTTAGGGTTCAGGGTTCAGGGTTTAGAGCTTCGGGTCTGTCGAATGAAGCTACCCAAGTGTCTTTTTGGTACCCATGTCACTATCCATGGACTTCTCTTGGTAAGGCCCGAGGGGATGTTCACGCCTCCAGGGCGAGCTCGGAAGCGGTAGGTGTGAGAATTATGGCCGTCACAACGAGGTCACATAAGTATATTGAGCAATATTGAGCTGCGCTTGAGGACCTAAACGAGTGGCTGAATGAAAGCAGCATTCAAGCACGCAGGTCCTCCAACGGCTCATCTTGAAAACTGAGAAGGATGGAACGCGCCTCAACCCTAGACCCTAAACCCCAAAACCGAAACCCTAAACCCTAAACTCTAAACCTTAAACCCTAAACCCTAAACCCTAAACCCTAAACCCTAAACGCCCCTAAACCCTAAGTCCTAAAGCCCCATTAGCCTGTGAATCCTGAACAGTTGGAGCAAGTGTTTCGGCTTAGTACTCAGGGCCACAATAGCCCGAAACCCCAGCATCCGTGAGGCGTTGAGGTCTCGACCTTGCACCCTAAACCCTAAACCCTAAGTCCTAAACCCTACACCCTAACCCTAAAACCTAAACTCTAAACCCTAGACCCTAAACCCTAGACCCTGAACTCTACACCCTAAACCCTAAACTCTAAACCCTAAACCCTAAACCCTAAACCCTGAACCCTAAGCCGTAAACCCTAAACCTTGCCGTCCAAGGAAGACGCCAAGGGCCTCTTTATCAAGGCTGGCCAGGTCATGAGCGCCATGGTCGGCACGCTGCCGGACGCCTTCACCAAGGAGTTGGGATGTAGGGATATAGGGTCGGAGGGTTATGTGGTTTTCGGGTTCTACTGGGTTTAGGGTTTAGGGTTGAAGGTTTGGGGTTTGGGGTTTAGGGTTTTAGGGCAGTATGGTCGGCTTGGTAGCCCAGTGGTACCCTTTGCCCTTTTTTTGGGTTCTGGGTTCCCTTATAAAGTAACCAACCCCAAAAAGGGTGCCCTTTTTGTAATCTGGTTACTGGGCTGCTAAGTCGGAGGGTTATGTGGTTGTGGGGTTATAGGGCTAGTGAGCTGTGGCATTATGGGAGGGCATAGCGTTATACTGGCTTTAGGTTTTGCGTTTGGAGTTTTCATGGGACAGGAGGAGCACTTCGGAAAATAGGAACTATATAGGCTAATATATATACATATATATGTATGTATATATATATAGGGGTTACAAAGGGGCAAAAAAAAGAAGCGTCCCTTCCAGGGGCCCCTCCTTATACCCCTTAAGTTTCGCGTTCGAGTTGAGGCCGCCCTCAGAGCTTTACAATGCTGCGGAGTTTGGCGTTTGTTTCGTATACGGCTGCATGAGAAACTCGGCATCGAAAAGGGGGCGCCTAAACCCCATGTAGCAAGCTAGATCTGACGGTGCCCTTTTGCTGGGGCCCTGGTGAAGGAGGGCTTTTTGCTGTTCCTGGTGAGTGTATTTCAGCTTTGGTTCTATCGGTGAGTGAGAATAATTAGTGTTTTTTTTCGGGCATGCCCTCAATAAAAACTAGGACCCAGAGTAGGCCCTTTTTTTGGGAGGGCGCGGGGGGTCGGGTTCCCTTATAAGCCTGTTTAAACCACAAAGCGTGCCCTTTTGATTCATCGGTTACTCTTGGTCTAGAAAACCTTACTTCAGGTACTAGGTTGCCGCGGATCCTAAACCCCGTGAGCCTTAACTATCTTAAACCCTACGCCCGAGTCTCGATTACACTGCCAGTATTGACTAGTGTTTAGGGTTTAGGGCATTAGGGCCAGGGTTTAGGGTTTAGGGCTTAGGGCTTAGGGGTTTTTGCCAGGAGTTCTTGTCTCTGACGGACCACCTCCCTGTGAGCACCGTCCAGGAGGTCTATCGGACTGTGCAGCGGACGTTTAACCAAGCTCCCAAGGACGCCAAGCACGAAACCCCTTTCCTTCTGATGTTCCCCCGGTTTGGGGTTTAGGGGTTAGGGTTCAGGGGTTTAGGGTTTAGGGTCCAGGGTCAGCTCGAAAAAGATGGGTCGGAATAATTACTAATAATTTTCCCTTGTGGTCCCTTCGTAATTACACTATTAAAACCTCCGAAACCCTATTCTAAGCATTTACCCCTATATTACCTGCAACTGCCTTCAACTACAGTTCTTAATAGTACCCTCGAGCCCAAAATCCCAACCCCCCCTCCCCCCCCCCCCCTAGAGTGTCTAGAGTCTAGAGCCTTTGAAGGTGTACCAGGTAGGTTTAGTTTGCTTGCATCCGGCTTCCAAAGCCCAACCCGAAGCCCTAAGCGCAACCATGGTGCTAACCCTTTTCAGCCTCCGCCTCCAAATCTCGGACTATACAAGTCCTAGGGTTCAGGGTTACGGCTTGCTGGCCCTAACTTACCATGGGTAGGATCTTGCTATATTACTATTCGGGGGGGGGGGGGGGGGGGGGTTCTATTATAGGGGTTCCTTATCTTCGTAAGCTCTCACTATGAGCCCCAAGGCCCTCATGTAGCTAGGGTTGAGTTGGTCAGCCTTAAGCTCTATGTAGGCTCAGGGCTTAGGGCTTAAGTTACATGTAAGCATTAAACCCTATCAACCCAACAAACTACAGGTTTCGGGCTTATAGGGTCTGATGAGCTTATAAGCTTTTTTGAATCCCTATAAACGCGATGAACCCTAACTTAACGGACCCAGATTCACTTTTTTTAGGGCTTAGGTTCCCTTCTCAGCCCCTTCAAACCAAAAAGGGTACCCTTTTACTCCTAGGTTCCTCTTGGGTCTCGTAAACCCTGAAGCCTAAACCCTGAAGCCTAAACCCTAAACCCTAAACCCTAAACCCTAAACCCTAAACCCTAAACCCGGGAAGCAGGACATCTTCTGCGAGTTCGACCCAGAACCCCTTGCTTCGGCGTCCATCGCCCAAGTCCACCGTGCCCGGCTGCGGAGCACTCGGGAGATTGTGGCCGTGAAGGCGCGGGTTTAGGGTTTAGGGTTTAGGGTTTAGGATTTAGGGTTGAGATTTGTAGGTTTGGGGTTTAGGGCTTCTCTCCTTCCTCACAATTAAAGAACGAGCTCGAGTTTAACCTATAAACCCCAAAAGCCTAAACCCCAGACCCCCCCCCAAAAAAAAAAAAAAAAAAAAAAACAACACAACAAATAAAAAAGAAAAAGCAATGCCACTCTCCCCACCAGTTTCTCGTCCATGTCTCTCAGAATCTGCCAAAGGTATATCTCCCCAAGCCCTGTTAACCCCAACCCTAAACCCGAAGCCCTAAACCCTATACCCTAAACCCTAAACCCTATGGGTTGTCTGGCTGGTCGAGTCCGTTTACTTTGGAGTGGCTTCGGGAACCCCGAATGCAAAAAAGAAGAGGAAGCCCCTCAACCTCATCAACCCTAAACCCTAAACCCCAAACCCTAAACCCTAAACCCTTGATGAACCCTAGGCCTTGAACACCGCAAACCAAAAAACTTGTTTAAGCCCTCAACCCCGCCCCCCCAAAAACAAGGCCCGTAGCCCTGGACCGAGTGGTTCCTAGTAGGGTTTAGGGTTTAGGGTTTAGGGTTTATTAGGGAATGAGGGAATTAGGTACCTTATGGTACCTTATATCCCCCTGCATATGTACCATCTAACCCCTAAACCCGAAACCCATAAACCCTGCATCCCGACTGGTTCCCAGTAGAGGAATGAGGTAATTATGGTACCTTATCTCCCACTACATATGTACCCTCAATGATGGATTATATACAGGCGGTGCCTAATTCCTTCATCCCCCACCAAGAGACAGCAAGCAAGAGTAACCCTAAAAGCCCCCAACCCCAAACCCCAGATCTCCAAACCCTAAACCCTAAACCCTAATTAAACCCTAAACCCTAAACCCCAAACCCCAAACCCCAAACCCTAAACCCCCTCAAGGTGCAGCATGACGGCGTCGACCGGATCTTCCTCGAAGACATCGAGACCCTCACGGCCGTGGCCGAACAGCTCGCGGCCTGGTGGCCGGATCTGGACTTCCGGAAGTTTGCGGAGGACTGGGTTTAGGGTTTAGGGTTGAGGGTTTAGGGTTTAGGGTCTAGGGTTTAGGGTTTGGGTTTAGGGTTGCAAGTCCGCCAGCCCTCCATCCGCAGCCATAAACCAACCCCCCAACCCCTAAACCCCAAACCCCTATGAACCCCAAGTCGCGTTTAGGGTTTAGGGTTTAGGGTTATTTAGGGTTTAGGGTATAGGGTTTAGACTTCAGGCCGGCTTAGGGTTCAGGGTTTAGGGTTTATCAAGCTTATCAGTGAGCTCAGGGCTTGTTTGGGGGTACTTAGGCGCTACTTCGGTATGCATAGGGGTTATATAGGAGAATAAGATTAAGGGTCCCTTCTAGGGGTCCCTCCTTACACCCCTTGAGTTTAGGGTTTAGCATTCCCGCAGACCCTAAACTACTATTTGCTTAAGATCCACCCCCCAAAATGTAAGATGTTAATCCCTATATTACCTTTATCAGGAAGAGCATGTTCTCATTCTTGGCGTGCTTCTCAAGCAAACAACCCTAAACCCCAAACCCCAAACCCCAAACCCGAAGCCCTAAGCCCTAAGCCCTAAACCCTAAACCCTTCAGCAAACTAGCAGCAAGCAGGAGTGGCGGGAGTCTCTGCCCCGGGAGCTGGACTTCATGCACGAGCGCTCCGCGCTGGAGCGCGCGGGCCGGGCCCTTCGCGAGGCCGGCAACTGCTGCATCGTGCCCAAGGCAGGGGAGGGTGTAGTGTAGGGGTTTAGGGTTTGGGGTTTAGGGTTTGGGGTTTAGGATTTGGGGTTTAGGATTTGGGACTGGGGGTTTAGGCTTTGAGGCTTTAGGGTTTGCGGCTTGGGTTTGGGGTTTGGGGTTTTGGGAAGGTCGTACTGGCGTGAAGGTGGACTTCCTTACCTTGAGGTTCGTGAAACGTTGCTTTCAGGGCTTCAGGCTCATGGTTGAAGCTTCTTCGAGATTTCGATCTGGGACTCGTTCTTTGTGGGCTTTAGTTTCGAGAATGCGTACGCTTTCGGTACTAGTCTCGGATGCAGGACTTTTGGCGCAGATCGCTGCGTTGGGGTAAGCACCGAACCTCCATAATCCATCCCACCTCCCGCCAGCCCCAGTCCGGAACCCAACCCAACCCTAAACCTCGGTGCCCCAAAGCCCTACACCCTAAACCCTTAACCCCAAACCCTAAACCCTTAACCCTAAACCCTAAACCCCTAACTCTACACCCTCAATCCTAAACCCTAAACCCCATCTTAAAGCCCCGAAGTCCTAAACCCAGCGAAAGCCTAAACCTGAAACGCTTGGGCCTCTTAAACCCTCCAGGCCAAGCCTCCGAAGTCGCCTAAGCACCCTAAACCCCAAAACCTCCAACCTTGGGGATGTTCCCCCTTCTGCTAACAGTCCTTAAGAGGGATTTTAGGGTTTAGGGTTTAGGGTTTAGGGTTTAGGGTTTAGAGGGTACTATAATTGACTACAATCCCTACTCAGGACTGTTAGTATAAGGGGGAATGTCCCATTCCATAAGCCTTGGCAGCCCAGTGGTATCCTGCTGCTTCGGTGCGACCGACTCGTCTCTCAAGCGCCTGCTTTACATCACTGAATCACATCACCCCTGCTATGGATGTGCTGTTGGCCAAGTTCTACGTCACTGGGTGCCTGCACCCTTCCAGAGGAAGGTCTGACCTGCGAGTTGAAGTCACTGGAATTGGAGCGACTGACTATGCGGAACGGTGCAAATGACGGCACGTATTGCCGGAGCGTTGTTGTCACCAGGTGGTTACGCTTAAACAGGTTTTTGTGAGAGTAGATAACATCCGCAACCCTAAACCCCAAACCCCAAGCCCCAAACCCCAAACCCCAAACCCTAAACCCTAAACCCTAATCCCTAATCCCTAAAAACCGTAAACCCTAAACCCTAAACCCTGAACCCTAAATCCTAAACCTTAAACCTCGACCTCCAGGTGCATCCAAAGCTCTGCGGGCCGCACGTCTTCGTCATGGAGCCTTGTCCCTTCCGTTGTTGAGGGTTTAGGGTTTAGGATTTAGGGTTTAGGGTTTAGGGTTTAGGGTTTGGGGTTTAGGGTTTAGGGTTTGCGGTTCAGGGGTTTAGGGTTTGGGGTTTAGGGTTTGGGGTTCAGGGGTTTAGGGTTTGGGGGTTTAGGGTTTGGGGTTTAGGGTTTGGGGTTTAGGGTTTGGGGTTTGGGGTTTAGGGTTTAGGGTTTGCGGTTCAGGGGTTTAGGGTTTAGGGTTTAGGGTTTGGGGTTCAGGGGTTTAGGGTTTGGGGGTTTAGGGTTTGGGGTTTAGGGTTTGGGGTTTGGGGTTTACGGTTTAGGGTTTGGGGTTCAGGGTTTAGGGTTTGGGGTTTAGGGTTTCGGGGGTTTAGGGTTTGGGGTTTGGGGTCTACGGTTTAGGATTTTGGGTTTAGGATTTGGGGTTTGGGTTTGGGGTTTATGGCTTGGGGCTTATGGGATCCGGGGTTTATAGCCTTTGAAAACCCTAAACCTTAAACCCTTAATTTAGGGTTTTGAGGGTTAAGAGGGTTTGGGGTCCACCTTCCCCGGCGAGGCCAATGCCCCTTAGCCAAGATGTGCACCTTAAGCCAAAGCCGAGCTCCAAGCCTGGTCAACCCTAAAGCCTAAACCCTTAGCCCTACCCTCTAAACCCAAAACCCTAAACCCTAAACCCTAAACCCCAAACCCTAAACCCTAAACCACCCTAAGCCATTCGGGGTGTCTGTGACCCTCTGGGTTCTGTTGGGACTCAGGGCCTTGTGTAGGGGAGAAGGCCCTCGAAGGCCTCGAGACTGAAGCATGGAAACCAAAACCCGTAACCCGAAGCCCTAAACCCTAAACCCTAAACCCTAAGCCCTAAGCCCTAAACCCCAAATCCCTCGAATCCCGAAGCCCCCAAACCCTAAACCCCAAGCCCTAAGAAGCCTGGACTCTGTTGAAGGTTTCTGTGGCCCTGTATGCTGAAACCTAAACCCTAAGCCCGAAACCCTACACTCTAAGCCTCACAAACCCTCAAGCTATATATGTCCATGTAACCTCCCAGGGCCCTCGCTTGAAGGGCCGGCCAAACCCTCAACCCTTTAAGGTTTAGGGTTCAGGGTTTAGGGTCAGGGATTTACCTAAGCCCTAATCACTTAAACCCTAAACCCTAAACCCTAAACCCTAAACCCTAAACCCTAAACCCTAAACCCTTTTCTCAAAACTTTTGTTTGAACTTGTTGTCGACTGAACATCACACACATCAGCAGAAGGCAGCGGTCGACAAGGATGGCTGCTGTGTCGACCTACCCCGTTGGAAACGGTTTAGGGTTTAGGGTTTAGGGTTTAGGGTTTAGGGCTTAGGGCTTAGGGCTTAGGGCTTAGTGCTTAGGGCTTAGGGTTTAGGGTCTACTTGGAGGTTCATCTTACTTATTAACCAATGCTAACTGTACTTATAGCCCACTTAGAAGACCTTTGAGCGCCCTAGTATGGTTATGAGTACAGTTACTAGTACAGTTCTAATTGGTTGATAAGTACCATGAACCTCCAAGTAGGTGGTGGTGGAAGCTTCTGCCGCCACCGCGAGTTGTTCAGGTATCAGGGTTCCCAAACCCTAAAACCACGAACCCCAAGATTTAGGGTTTCCCTTTCTCCTTCGTTTACGGCTTTCTTGCGGGTTTCCAAACCCTAACGTTCCCTAAACCCGCAACTAACCCCGAAACCCTAAACCCCTGAAACCTTAAACCCCTAAACCCTGAACCTCGAAACCCCCTAACCCTAAACCCCTAAACCCTACACCAGAAACCTCTAAACTCTGAACCCCGAAAAACCCTAACTAAACCCCTAAACCCTAAGCCCCCAAACCCTCAACCATGAACCCCCCCTAAACCTTAAACCGCGAAACCGCTAAACCCTGAATTCCGAAACCCCTAAACCCTAAACCCTAAACCCTAAACCTTAAACCCCAAGCCCCGAAAAAAGAAGCCCAGGAGTTCATCGAGGCGGGTCCCATTTTGGACCTTGGCGACCAGGAGTTCTGTGAGAAGAACAAGGCCGGGTTGGAGGTGTTTTTTTATGGTTTGAACCGTTTAGGGTTGTGGGGTTTGGGCCTTAGGGTTTCAGGGGTCTAGGGGGTTAGGGTGTAGGGGTTGGGGATTTAGCGTTCAGCGGTTTTGGGGGTTCAGGGTTTAGGTGTGGTCCTGCCTCGGCGGCTAGCCTTGCCTCGGGCGTGGGCACGTGTTTCTTGGGCGCAAGCGCCTGGAAGACGTCCTGGCCATCGAGTGATTGGATTCTTCGGTGCTAGGGTTACTTAAGTTATTTACGGTTTAGGGTTTAGGGTTGAGTGCTGCTGCCAGGAGTGCTTGGTAGCCCGGTGGTGCCCTTTTGCCACCTTTTTGTTGGGGTTCTAGGTTCCCTGAAAAAGAGATTAGTGGGCAGGTGGACAAGCACAGGGTCCTCACTGAGCTCATCCACGCCTTTGGAATCATGGTGCCTTTGCTGAGACACAAACCATCCTAGGATTTAGGGTTTAGGGTTTAGGGTTTCTCTCAACCCGCTTAACCCTGGGCTTAAGCCATAGCTCACAAGCTCCCCAGCCCTAGATACCCCCCTGCAGCCCTGAATCAGGGTGCTAAACGAGCAAACCTGTATACGTGTCTTATGTATGCGCATATGTCTAAACATGTATACGTATGTTTGTACATATGTATTATGTATATCTGTATATACATATATGCATGTATGAATGCATGTTTGTATAGGTAAGAGTTCATGTATGTTGGGCTTATTGTTTGGCATTTGTTCTTGCTTTGGCTTGCTTTGTGGTTTTGTTGTTTGTGGCGCACTGCTTGTATTGGTCAGTCTGCTTGCTTGTTTGTTCAGTTTAGTCTCCCGTGCGCTTAAAACTACATCTAGGTATCATGTATTTCGTTTTGCAGAAAACCCTAAGCATCCATGTACCCAAATAGGGAATACTTGGGCCCTAAAGTATTTCCTAATTTGGGGTCTGTAGACCTCAAGTACATAATAGGTTCATGGACCCTTAAAAGGGAAATACCCTAAACCCTAAACCCTAAACCCTAAACCCTAAACCCTAAACCCTAAATCCCTCAGACGCTGGCGCCGAGGCCTTTCGAGACGGCATGTTCCACGCAGACCCCCACGCTGGGAACGTGCGGCTGAAGCTGGATGCCTCGACGCCCGGCGGGGCCAGGCAGCGGTTTAGGGTTTAGGGTTTAGGGTTTAGGGTTTAGGGTTTAGGGTTTAGGGTTTAGGGTTTAGGGTTTAGGGTTTAAGGTTTAGGGTTTAGGGTTTAGGGTTTAGGGTTTAGGGTTTAGGGTTAAAGCCTTGGGATCTTCCCCCCATATTACTAGCAGTTCTCAATGGGCAGTATCATAGGGTGTACGATAATCCCTATTAAGGGCTGTTAGTATAAGGGGGAGCATCCAAGTTGAGCCCTAGTAAATCCTAAGCCCTAAACTACATGCGTTTGCGGATGAGGGTTTAGCTCAGTGCTGCCCTTATGCCTTTTTTTGTCATCATAGTGTACCCAACCCCAAAAAAACACTGGTGCCAAGAGGTTTCTTGTTCAGGGTTTAGGGTTTAGGCTGAAGGGGAAACTTCCTACGCCATCCTCTTCCCCTAGCCCTAGACTCGAGGTCCGATACTTCGAGGCTTTGTGGTGCCCGAGCCACATAAGGACATGGAGTTTAGGGTTTAGGGTTTAGGGTTTAGGGTTTAGGGTTTAGGGTTAGGGTTTAGGGTGTAGGGTTTAGGGTTTAGGGTTTAGGGCTACTACAGCCCTTGTGGTCTCCCCCCGATGTTAAAGGTGACTCCTATGCCTAGACCCAAAACCTAAACCCTAAACCCTAAACCCTAAACCCTACCCCCTAAACCCTACACCTAAACCCTAAACCCTAAACCCTAAACCCTAAACCCTAAACCCTAAACCCTAAACCCTAAACCCCACTCCGCCACCGAAAAATCTCTCCTTGCGCGAAGGGTGTCGTTGTGGCTTGGAGCCCTGTGGCTTTGCATAGAGGCGAGGTTGATCTAGGGCTTGAAGTTCAGGGGTGCAGTGTTTTGGAGTTCAGGGGTTCAGGGTTTTCAAGCCCCACAGAAGCACCAGGCCCGTTCTCCTTGACTGGGGCCTCATACGGGAGATTACGGACGAGGAGCGCTTGGGCCTGGCAAAGGCGGGTTTAGGGCTTAGGTTTAGGGTTTGGATTTAGGGCTTGAGGCTTAGGGCTTAGGGCTTCCAAGGCTTAGGGTTTGGGTTTGGGGTTCTGGGTTTGGGGTTTGGGGTTTGGGGCTTAGGGTTTGGAATGTGCTTTGTATGGTTCAGGGTTTCGTATCAGGTCTAGGGATTTTGGATCTCAGGGTTTTAGGGTTGTAGGATTTCAAGCTTTTTGTGTTGACGGTCTAGGGTGTTTGGATTTGCGGGTTGAGGGTTTTCGGATCTTAGGGTTTGGGGGTTCAATTTTGCAGAGTTTGGCAGTTTAGACGTCCCCTAGCATGACTGCACCCCTTCCATGAGAGAGTTAGAACGAGAAACGCTGAAATGGCCCAATGGCACCGTTTTCCTATCTTTCTTAGGGGGCACCCCTTGTGCTTTAAGTTGAGGACATGTAGATTCAGGCCAACCCCCCCCCCCCCTCCCCCTAAACCCTAAACCCTAAAGCCTAAACCCTAAACCCTAAACCCTAAACCCTAAACCCTAAACCCTAAACCCCCCAAGCAGGTTTTCCACTCCCTGGCCAACTTCGACATCGCCGGGCTCTTCGATGTCCTGGAGTCCTTGGGCTTCAGCCTGAAGCTTGGTAGCCCAGTGGTAGGGTTTAGGGTTTAGGGTTTAGGGTTTAGGGTTTAGGGTTTAGGGATTAGGGATTTAGGGTTTAGGGTTTAGGGTTCAGGGTTTAGGGTTTAGGGTTCCCTTATAAAGTAACCAACCCCCAAAAAGGGTGCCCTTATTTCAATATGGTTACTGGGCTACGAAGGAAGTCGGAGCTCGTGAACGACGCCTTCAAGCGCGACCTCATCGACCTTCGCCTGCAGGATTTCTAGCTGGCTTGCGGCTATGAGGCCGTAGGAAAGAAGGACTTCTCAGTAGGCTTGTGTACATGTTTCAAATATGTAGGGTCTATTGATCTCTATGTACATGTTGTGGTAGCTTACTGCGAGTTTCTGAGCAGCAGTGGGGCATTCGGAGGAACCAAAGTACCACAAACAATTGAAAGCTTTAAAAAGCCTTCAGACCAACCATCCTAAACTTTGTCTTAAGAACCGCAAGCCTACTTCATGCTGCAGGTGACCTGTCTACTTACTTCGGCTCGTGAACAGCCAAGGATAAAGCCCGGGGCGTGGTCAAAGACACCATCAACAAGCACAAAACGCGTGAGAACGCCAAGGAGCTTGGGCTTAGATGGGTTGCAAAGCCCTTCCGTCGGAAGTCTTGGTGTGGAATCTCCACGCTCTAAGGTGAACCGCCCCTACCCCCCTACCCCCCAACCCGGTAGTTAGAGTTTATCTACTGTAGCTATAGCGCACGCAGAATACGTATTTGATGTCGACTCGCGTCTTGCAGACCTCTGGTCCTGAGCCCTAAGCCTTACACCGCAAATTCTAAAAGACCTTAAACCTTGACTGCAAGTCAAAAATTTGGAAGCCCTCCCCCACACCTCGCCCCCCCCCAACCAAAAAAGCAAGACAAACACATATTATATATATATATATATATATACAATATATATATATATACAATATATATATATACAATATATATATATATACAATATATATATATATATATATATATATACATATACATATACATATACATATATATATATATATGTGTCTATATAGGTATTTTAAGGGGGGTTTTCGTGCACTCACTTGTTCACTTACAAAACCCCCATAAAATGTACTTTATATATATATATATATATACATATACATATATATATATATATATATGTGTCTATATAGGTATTTTAAGAGGGGTTTTCGTGCACTCACTTGTTCACTTACAAAACCCCCATAAAATGTACGTTATATATATATATATATACATATGTCTATACATACATATGCATACACACTAAACCCAAAAGCCAAGCCCTAGACCTTAAATTCCCGAGCCTCTGCACCCTAAGCCCTAAACTCTAAACCCTAAACCGCAAGCCCTAAACCCTAAACCCTAAACCCTAAACCCTAAACCCTAAACCCTATACCAGGAGGAGCTGGCGGAGTACAAAGCCGCCCTGCAGCTTGCATGGACTTCGATTGCCCCCCCCCCCCCCCCCCCCCCCATGCGCCTCACCATTATGTACTTGGGCCCGAGAGTCCCTAAATAGGAAAAACCTTAAGGCCCAAGCATTCCCTATTTCGGTACATGCCCTAGACCCCAAACCCCAAACTCTAAACCCTAAACCCTAAACGGCCCTAAACCAGCTCAGGAATCGCTCCCAGGAGACTCAGGGAGCCGAAGGCTCCATTTCACCGCCGCCTGGGCAGAAGTTTCAGAGGGTTTAGGGCTTAGGGTTTGGGGTTTAGGGTTTAGGATTTAGGGTTTAGGCTTCGGGGTTTAGGGTTTGGGGTTTAGGGTTTGGGGTTTAGGGTTTGGGGTTTAGGGTTTGAAGTTTAGGGTTTGGGGTTTAGGGTTTGGGGTTTAGGGTTTAGGGTTTGGGGTTTAGGGTTTAGGGTTTGGGGTTTAGGGTTTTTGGGGTTTAGGGTTTTGGGTTTTGGGCTTGGGGTTTGGGGCTTAGGGTTTAGGGTTTGGGGTTTAGGGTTTAGGGTTTGGGGTCTAGGGTTTGGGGTTTAGGGTTTGGGGTTTAGGGCTTGGGGTTTCGGGTTTGAAGTTTAGGGTTTGAGGTTTAGAGTTTAGGGGTTTGGGGTGTAGGGTTAAGGGTTTAGGGTTTAGGGTTGAGGGTTTGAGGTTTAGTGGTTAAGGTTTGTAGTTTGGGGTGAGGGTTTGTGGTTCAGGTTTGGGGTGTCAGGGTTGAGAGTTTAGGATTGAGGGTTTGGGGTTCAGGCTTTGTGGCTCAGGGTGTATGGTTTGGGGTTCAGGTTTTGGGGTTACGGTTTGGGGGTTTGGGGTTTAGGGGTGAGGGTTTGGGGTGTAGGGTTGAGGGTTGAGGGTTTGGGGTTTGGGGTTTGTAGTTGTAGGGGTTTAGGGTTTTGGGCTTGGAGTTTAGGGTTTGGGGTTTGGGGTCTGGGTTCAGGGTTTGGGGTTTGGGTTTAGGGCTTGGGGTTTAGAGTTGAGGGTTTGGGGTTCGAGTTGTGGGTTTAGAGTTTAGGGTTTGGGTTTTAGGGTATAGGTTTGGGGGTTCAGGGTTTGGGTGTAGGGGTTTAGGGTTTGTGGTTTAGGGTTTAGGTTTGGGGTTGGGGTATTCTAAGTTTAGGGTTTGGGATTCAGGGTTGAGGGGTTTAGGTTGACGTTTGGGGTTTGGGTTTTGGGGTTTAGGGTTGAGGGTTTAGGCGTGTGGGCTTATGTTTTTAGGGTTGAGGGTCCTTACCTTCTTGAAAGGGTTCTGAAGTATGGGCCCCTGGGGTTTAAAGGGTGTATACGGGGTATATATGGCCCATACTGAGGGACCCATAGAACGACCTTAAGAGTGTGGCCACATCGAGATCTTCATGGGCACGTGTGCATATGTACGCAACCCTAAACCCAGCCCTCCACAGTAAAGGTAATGCCTTGAAGTTCTTTCTTCTGAATATAAATGATGATTAACCCTAAACCCTAACCTTCAACCCAAAACCCCAAAAAAACCTAAAAACCCTAAACGGGGGGCTAGGAGAGCAAAGAGTCTAAGACGTCGTGTTTGGCGGTTCGTAGGGCGAATGGGTGGTGGACATGCGCAAGGGCCATGGCCGCGGCAAGGGCGAGCGGGGCAGAGGCCGTCACTTGGGTGGTACGACGCCGAAAGCTTCGGGCCAGGTGCTTCTGAGAACCGAGCGTATACGGGCACCAAGCATCCAAATGAAAGCAAGAGAGAACGGCCCGCTGCCAGTCATAGTGGCCTGGTGGGTAGATGCGCCTGTCAGCATTGCATGTTGCTTGTTGTTGCAAAGGGAGGGTTCACCAACTTCATTGAGCCAAGACCTGCTTTAAGCCTTAGAACCCTCAGCCCAAGCCATCCAAACCTGGTTCCCCTAGACACTATGTCAAATCCCTTTGTTGTTTCAGATTCCCTTGTAAGCGTAACCAACCCCCTCAAAAGGGTACCCTCATTATAAGGTTCCTGGGCTACCGAGAGTTTCTAACCCTAAGGGTCCATGTACCTGAAATGGAAATACTTGGGCCTTGAAGTACCTCCTATTTTGGGGACCTTAGAGCCCAACCACGGAGTAATGAGGTGCATGGACCCTTAGGGAAAGTGAAATCCTAACACCATGTTGTTCTGCCCTGGGTTCCCTCAACCGTCAACCTTGAACCCTAAACCTTGCACCCTGAAACCCTCAGGGTTTAGGGTTTAGGATTTAAGGGCTTAGGGCTTAGGGCTTGGGGTTTAGGTTTGGGGTGTTTAGTGAATTCTAGGGCACTGAGGATCTACTTCTTGGAGGACTGGCCCCGATGCATCATCTTCTTCATGCGCATGCTCCAGATCCTGCGGGGCCTGTGCATCTCCGTGGACGCGGAGGGTGCCTGTGGCCGCAGCTGTTGAAGTAGAGCTCAGGGCTTTAAGGGGTTTCCGAGTATGTGCTTAAGAACCCCCCCCCCACAAAAAAACTAATAACAACACATGCTTCCCAATAAGGGCAGCTTTTTTTCTGGGCGGGGCATGAAAACTCTCCCCCTCAGCCCTTGACAACTCCCTAGGATGGCTAAGGGTCTATAGGTTTCAGGGTTTTAAGTCGCAATCCGTGCCTCGCAGGCTGGCTTCAGGGAGAGTGGATCATGTGTTCCCCTCTCTACCACCCCAGCCCCTGGGTTCCCCCCATAATTAAGGCCATTTAGGGAGAATTCAGCCTAATTAAGGTCATTTAAGGAGGGAAGCCAGGGCGGGTAGTATAGAGGGGGCTAGTAGGGAATCCCATGAGTGGAGGAGTGTATGTCCCTATAGTGGTCCTTTATACTCTCCACATATTCCCCTAGGAAGCAGTGCCTGAAGAACCAGCTCGCCTTCGACCCCACAGAAGCCCCTAAGCCCCTGGACTCTAAGCCCTCAGCCGTCACCCGAAACTATAAATGCTAAGTCCTAAGCCCTAAACCCTAAGCCCTAAGCCCTAAGCCCTAAACCCTAAACCCTAAACCCTAAACCCTAAACCCTAAACCCTAAACCCTAAACCCTAAACCCGAAGCTGCAGGCATGCCCATGCTCCAGATCTTCTCTAGCCATGCTAAGGCCACAGCAGCGAAAACGTTTGGGATGTTATCGGGTCCTTGGGGGGGGGGGGGGTTCAAGGGGTTTAGGGTTTAGGGTTTAGGGTTTAGGGTTTAGGGGTTAAGGTTTAGGGTATTTAAGGTTCCCTAAAAACTCCCCCAACTACTCCCTAATGCTCACTAAGCTTCCCTACGGTTCCCTAGGTACCTACCCCCCCCCCCCCCCCCCCAGTCTGGCTTAAGGACCCTATAACCTGATCCTTCCAACTCAGGGAACCCCAAAAACCCTTAAACCTACAGATGGGGTTTGTAGGGTTCACAGGGTTTAGGGTTTGCAGGGCTTCAAGGATTTATAGGGTTTGTAGGGTTTATGGGGTTTTTGCAGGATTCAGGGCTTGTAGGGTTTTTAGGTTTACAGGGTTCATAGGGTTTATAGGGTTCGGAGGTTTTATGGGGTTTGTAGGTTTTAGGGACCCTAAACCATTAACCCTAAACCCGACTACATAGACTTGAGGGCAAGAATTTTGTTGGGAGGCCAGGGGCGAGGTTTGCGGGGGCCACCCGTGGTTTTTGAAGGCCTGGTTTGGGAATTCGATAGGGCCAACAAAGGGTTTAGGGTTTAGGGTTAAGGGTTCAGGGTTTAGGGTTTAGGGTTTAGGGTTTAGGGTAGGGTCCCGGTCCCGGGGTTTGTGGGCCTGGGGGGTGGAGGTGTCAGGAAAATTCGGGCCATGTTTGGGGGCTTAAGGGGTCTACGAATCTCGAGCCACACAGCACAACGCCTCGTCACCTGCCTCCGTCGTCTGCGGCTGCGTGACCCCCACGCCCGAAAAAAACTGCATCTGAAGGTTCCAATGTTCCTTCGTGGTCATCTTTTCGTAGTCGCTGCCTAATCCCTAAAACCCTAAACCCTGAACCTTAAACCCTACCCTAAACCCTAAACCCTAAACCCCCCCTAAACCCTTAACCCTAAACACTAAACCCTTAAACCCTAAACCCTAAACCCTAAACCCTAAACCCTAAACCCTAAACCCTAAACCCTAAACCCTAAACCCTAAACCCTAAACCCTAAACCCTAAACCAAAACCGTAGCCACAGCATGTTTGGCTGCATCCTGCAGAGGCAGCCTTGCAGGAGGGCTCTCAGAAGCAGTTGCTCTCCAGCCACCTGCGCATCTACGCCGGTCGCGACTGGGCCCGCGAGCTGGGGGTCTTGTCTTTGAGGTTTTGGGGTTTTGGGGTTCAGGGGTTTGGGGGTTTTGGGGGTTTTGGGGGTTTAGGGTTTAAGGGTTTAGGGTTTAGGGTTTAGGGTTTAGGGCTTAGGGTCTAGAGCATAGAATCGGCCTTTGGGGCTTCGGGCGAGTACGGACATTCTTAAGGCTGCGCTAATGGCCACCTTGCCAGAGGTCTAGGGCGCAAGTGCTGTTGTAGCAACAGATAGGGCATGGAACCGCTGTTTTCCCCCCCTCCCTCAGGTCTCAGCCCGAATCTGCGTATTCTTGTTGTAAACATGAACCCTAAGGCCTACACCCTAGTACAAAACCCTCGTCCCTAATAGCCCTAAAAACTAGCTTAAACCTTAAACCTTAAACCCTAAACCCCAAACCCTAAACCCTAAACCCCAAACCCTCAACCCTAAACCCTTAACCCTAAACCTTAACCCTAAACCCTAAACCCTAAATGGTAAGGTATGGTGGAAGGGTAGGTCTCCTACTTGGCCCAGTGCATAGGTTCCGCACAAGTTGTCCCACCTTCATCCTTTTTCAGGCCCCTCAGCCCTACCTTCAGAGCCAAACAGCCACGTCTCGGTTGTGGTTGTAACACTCCTTTGGGTACTCTGACCTTAAACCCCTAAACCCTAAACCCTAAAGCCTACACCCTAAACCCTAAACCCTACACCCTGAACCCTAAACCCTACACCCTAAACCCTAAACCCTAAACCCTAAACCCTAAACCCTAAACCCTCCCGAAGCTCCTGTGACTTGGGCAAAGCTGCAGCCAAGGCGAGGGCCGCAAAAGGGGCGACGAGACGCCCTTCTGCTCCAAGGCCGGCTTTTCCTGCGGCCAAAAAGTTTACGGTTTAGGGTTTGGGGTTTAGGGTTTGGGGTTTAGGGTTTGGGGTTCGGGGTTTGGGGTTTAGGGTTTGGGGTTTAGGGTTTGGGGTTAGGGTAGAGCACCTTCTGAAGTTGAGGGTGTAGGATCTAGGTTTTAGGGTCTGGGGTTTAGGGTTTCAGGTTAGGGACTTAGGGTTCCGGTGCGTAGCCTACGCCCTATAAGCCCTAACATCACACTGGAAACCGGAAGTCCCTAGCCCTAACACACTCAACTTTAGGCGGGTGCTACTACCCCGACACCCTCAACACGAAACCCTAAACCCTAAACCCTAACCCCCAAACCCTAAACCCTAAACCCTAAATTTATAAACCCTAAACCCTATAAACCCTATACCCTATTCCCTATAAACCCTAAACCCTATAAACCCCAAATCCACATGTCGCGAGGTCACCATGAAGAGGAACGCAGCCTTGGAAGCGCGTATGCAGAAGACCCTGGCGGATCTGCTGCCGGAGCCCCGAGCATGTCTTAGGTTGATCAGGCTGAGGGGTTGGGAGGGTTTAGGGTTTAGGGCTTGGGGTTTAGGGTTTAGGGTTTAGGGTTTAGGGCTTCGGGTTTAGAAAATGAGTTTGGGCTTAGGGCTTGGGGTTTAGGTTTATTGTTTAGGGTTTAGGGTTCAAAAAAAGTTTTTGGGCTTAGGGCTTGGGGTTTAGGGTTTAGGGTCTTGGGATAAAAACATTTCGGGCTTAGGGCTTAAGCCTTGGGGTCTAGGGTTTAGGGTTTAGGGCGACTTGCGGCGTCGTACTTTGGGATATGACTGCATTGTTTCTTCGTTCTTAATGTCCCTAAACCCTAGGCCCTAAACCCTAAGCCCTAAACCCTAAGCCCTAAGCCCTAAACCCTAAACCCTAAACCCTAAACCCTAAACCCTCTTCGTTCTTAATGACCCATGAACTTCAGAGGGCCGACCCGTAGGGCTTTCAAGCGCAACTCGGAGTAGGGTTCTCGGTGACTCAGCCAGCGTTTAGGGTTTAGGGTTTGGGGTTTGGGGTTTAGGGTTTAGGGTTGAGTGTTTAGGGTTTAGGGTTTCGGGTTTAGGGTTTAGGGTTGAGTGTTTAGGGTTTAGGGTTGAAGGTGTAGGGTTGTTGTGTGGTGCTGGGGCCTGCTTGGCAGGCATGTTCCTTGCGTCCCTTCCGGAACCCTAGGCCCGAATGCCAGCCCCCACTCCCCCTGACCCGAAACTCTGAAACACCACCATTCAGCCCTATATACCTTAAGCCCTAAACCCTAAGCCCTAAATCCTAAACCCTCAACAACCTCAGAGCTCTTAACCCAAGACTCTGCATTCCTGCGACTCTCATATATGGCTTTTTGTCCGCAGAGAGGGGTCTTCGCCGACCAGCGCCCGAAACAGAAAAGTCCTTAGATCGGAAACCAGGTACGCCTAGTCGGGGAAGCCCTCACATGGGGGGGGGGGGGGGTAACCCTAAACCCTAAACCCTAAACCCTAAGCCCTAAGGGGTTTCGGGTTGCGGATTTACAGTAGAGGCCTGCTTCATTGGAATGAGAGCTTCGGGTAGCTTTAAAGGTTTGACGGTGCAATAGCCGGCTTCCGGGGTTCCATAAGTCAGCCGTAAAAGGGGCATACGAGGCGATTACATAGGTTTCTGTATTTAACCTCAAAACCGGAAATCCCATCTCCTAAACCCTAAACCCTAAACCCTAAACCACAAACCCTAAACCCTAAACCTAAACCCTAAACCCTAAACCACAAACCCTAAACCCTCAACCCTCAACCCTAAACCCTAAACTAAACCCTAAACCCTAAACCCCTCGAACTTAGGTCGCGGAGGCAGATCGTTGGGGCACAGGTCGCGGTGGTGTGCGCCGGCGAGCTCGTCTGCAGCGTTGCCGCCGGCACGCCTGGGGACCCAGAGCGCTTGCCAGGGTTTGGGGGTGGCTTTCGGGTAGTTCAGGGTTTTGGGTTTAGGGTTTGGGGTTTGGGGTTTGGGGTTTGGGGGGTTAGGGTTGCTTTCATGACGATGACGCTGATCATGAGTGTTATGATGACGGCGACGACGAAGTTCTGACGAAGGCGCTGATGATCCTTTTTGTTTCGCGGCGGTCTGCTTTCCAGGTGAGCTCCTACTATTTGCTTTAAGAGCCCTCTAAAAAATGAAGTTTACATTCTTCCTGATACAGGGCATGTAGCGGCATTTCTGGGAGTTTGCAGCTTGAAGGTTTCCTAGACTCGAAACCCTAAACCATGAACCCAGAACCCTGAACCCTGAAACTCTCCTTCCGAGGCTCTCCTCCATCGACGCGCGGCCCGTGGAAGATAAGACCCGCTTCCCCCTGCTGGGCGCCACCGCTGGGCTGGGTGCGTTTCGCGGCTCCAGGTTTAGGGTTTAGGGTTTGGGGTTTAGGGTTTAGGGTTTAGGGTCTAGGGTCTAGGGTTTAGGGTCCGGGAGGGGGCGTTGTTGTGTGGCGGTTTGAGGTTGGACGCTTAGATCAGGCCAGAAGGATCTAGCCTTGCCAAAGAACGCGTACACCCCTTAAGCTCTAGACAACAATCCCCTCAACCCCTGAACCCTAGACGTGATTGGGGTTTAGGGTTTAGGGTTTAATTAGGGTTTTTAGGGTTTAGGGTTTAGGGTTTAGGATTTAGGGTTTAGGATTTAGGGTTTAGGGTTTAGGGTTTAGGGACCTGGAGCTCTGGAGACGAGGCTCGCCTTCCTCCGCGCCCTGCATCGGCAGTCGGAGGAGCTCATTGCGGCCACCGGCGACGACTCCCAGCTGTCCTAGCCAAGGTCAACAGGGGTTTAGGGTTTAGGGTTAGGGTTTAGGGTTTGGGGTTTGGGGTTTGGGGTTTAGGGTTTAGGGTTTAGGGTTTAGGGTGATTCTCGTTTCCGGCTTTCGGGCTTTGGGGCTGAGAAGTCCAAAGTAATATGCAAAAGTCCTTTTCTTCGTGATTGCAAGGGGAGCGCGGGCATTGGAATCCCAGAGCCCTAGGAGGTACTAGCCCTTTCGAACTTGGTAGCCCGGTGGTACCCTTTACCCATTTTTTGGGTTCTGGGTTCCCTTATAAAGCAACCAGCCAAAAAAAGGGTGCCTTCAGCATAACATGGTTACTGGGCTACTAAGTGAAGAAGGGTCAGTGAAGGCTTAAACACAACTCCCAAAACCCTGAGCTTCTCAAGCCTAAACCCTATTCCTCTAAACTCAAAACCCTAAACTTCAATCCCTAAACCCCAAACCTCTGAAGCCTGAACCCTAAACCTTGAACCCTTAACACAACTCCCTTCAACTGTATATAAGCTTCTAAAGCTTAAACCCTGTACCTTACGCATCTAAACCCTAAACTTCCAAGCCCTACACCCTAAACCCTAAACCCTAAACCCTAAACCCTAAACCCTAAACCCTAAACCCTAAACCCTAAACCCTAAACCCTAAACCCTAAACCCTAAACCCTAAACCCTAAACCCTAAACCCTAAACCCTAAACCCCAGCCTCACATGAGGACAAGCTGAAGCTGGGGACCTTGCTTCGAAAGATTATGGTGTCGCAACTGGGTAGCTGAGTGGTAGGTTTAGGGTTTAGGGTTTGGGGTTTTAGGATTTAGGGTTTAGGGTTTAGGGTTTGGGGCTTGGGGCTTGGGGTTTGCGGTTCAGGGTTTAGGGTTTTTTGGTTTTAGGGTTTAGGGTTCAGGGTTTGGGGTGTAGGGTTTAGGGTTTAGGGGGTTTTGGAAGCTAAGTGCCGCCCTTTTGCCCTTGTTGGGTTCGGGGTTCCCATATACATAGCTGCGAAAATCTTCATTCAGTGGCCAAGCGATGAATTTTCAGGAAAATCCCGAAAGCAGGAGGCCCTAAATCCTAAACCCTAAACCCTAGACCCTAAACCCTAAACCCTAAACCCTAAACCCTAAACCCTATTGGGGTTGAGGCCTCGGGCATGCTCAGGGATTAGGAGTTTGGCGCTTCGGCGCTTTGTGTGTTTGTGGGCACCTCAAAACTTGGAGGTTCATGGTACTTATGAACCAATTGTAACTGTACTTAGTTTAGGGTTTAGGGTTTAGGGTTTAGGGTTTAGGGTTTAGGGTTTAGGGTTTAGGGTTTAGGGTTTAGGGTTTAGGGTTTAGGGTTTAGTTTAGGGTTTAGGGGTTAGGGGTTAGGGGTTAGGGGTTAGGGGTTAGGGTGTTTTTTCAGGGTTTAGGGTTTAGGGTTGCCCACTTATGAGCCCCTTAAGTGCCCTAATATGGCTATAAGTTATGAGTACAGTCAGAAGTACAGTTATAATTGGTTAATAAGTACCATGAACCTCCAAGAAGTCCTTCTGGTGATTCTGTAGTCTACTCCGCAACCCCTAAACCCCGAGACACTCTGGGGTGTAGAGTTTAGTGTCAGGGTTTAGGGTTTAAAAGTCTAGGGTTGTTAGGGTGCAGGGTTTAGTGGTTCGGGTTTAGGAAACCCTCAACCCTAAACCAAGAGGTTCGGGTTGGGTTTCGGAGTCTGTGAGGCCACTCTGCCTTCTGACACCCTAAGCCCTAATCCCTAAACCCTAAACCCTAATCCCTAAACCCTAAACCCTAAACCTCGCGGTGCACTGAGGCAAATCTGGCCCGAGCTGCCTGCTTGCAGCTTCACCCAGTCTCTCCTAATCTTTCTCCACAAGACCCTAAACCCTCAACCCGAAGCCCTAAACCCTAAACCCTAAACCCTAAACCCTAAACCCTAAACCCTAAACCCTAAACCCTAAACCCTAAACCCTAAACCCTAAACCCTAAACCCTAAACCCCAGCCCTAAACCCTAAACCCTAAACCCCAAACCCTGTTCAAGCCCCATTGCCCCATTGTCAGAGATGTCAGCTACCTGGGCCTCCAACTGCCTCTTACTTTTGTTTTTCCCTTATTCCGGGTTTAGGGTTTAGGGGTAGGGTTTAGGGTTCAGGGTTTAGGGCTAGGGTTTAGGGTTTTGGGGTTTATAGGGGTTTAGGGGTCCAGCCTGCTAAACTGTAGGGTTTGGCGTCAAGGATATGTCGAGATCATCGGCGCTTCAACCCCTCTCAGGCACAGGCCCCAAAAAGAAGAGGTCATAGACGCGAAGCCCCCTCAAGCCCCCCTAAGCCCTAAGCCCTAAACCCTAAACCCTAAACCCTAAACCCTAAACCCTAAACCCTAAACCCTAAACCCTAAACCCTAAAACTTACTAAACCCCAATAAACCCTAGGGCATCCCTAAGAGCCCTCCAGCCCCCAACACGCTCAGTTTCGCGGCGGGGCGCTCAGACCTCTGCCTCGCCGACCTGCTCGCCCACCGTGCGGGCTTGCAGGCAAGATGCCGGAGGGTTTGGGGTTTAGGGTTGGGGTTTAGGGTTTGGGGTTTGGGGTTTGGGTTTTGGGGTTTGGGGTTTGGGGTTTGGGGTTTGGGGTTTGGGGTTTGGGGTTTGGGGTTTGGGGTTTGGGGGTTTGGGGTTTGGGTTTTGGGGTTTAGGGATTAGGGTTTAGGGTTTAGGGTTTAGGGTTTTGGTGAGGGTGCCTGGGTTTAGGGTTCTGGGTTTAGGCTTCCGAAATTTGGGGATACATTTTTTGGCGTTCCTGTCATGTGGATTGTCATATTTGGGGGTATATTGTGGGGTACCCCGACATGGGAAAATACCCATGTGTGGGATGCTTGAGTGATCGGTTTAGGTTTTAGGGGTTAAATTCGGTCTAATACCTTTATATGGTTTTTTTTATAGTGATGTAGTGCTGTTTCCCATAATGAATGCATAATTGTGTAATAATATGTCATCAAATCCAGTTTTGAATCTTAGAGCCCGCCTTACTGAGCACTTCGGGCGTCTCAAAGACGCAGTCCGAACCATTCGTCAAAACCTTCCAGTCTTCCAAACCCAAAGCCCCAAACCCCAAACCCCGAACCCCAAACCCTACACCTTAAATCCTTCCAGTCATCCTTAGCTAGGACCGGTCCTTCTTCGAAGGGCAATCTCACTATTTTGCGGGGCTGTTTTAGGGGTCCCCTATTTTCGTAAACCCCCACATGCGCCCGACAGAATACACAAGCTTCACTCTGATATAAGTTCTATTCTTAAACAGTCTCAATCCGAACCCAAAAACCCTGCACCCTGAATAGCATACCCTAACCCCCCCCCCCTCTCCAAAAAACATATCCTGAAATCCTAAAGCCTAACGCCGGATGCCAAGCATGCAGGACGCGTATCCCATTGACTTCAGCCCTTCATCCCTCGATGATCTGAAGGGGATGGTGGGGGTCTCAGACTCCATCCAAAGGCAGAGGGCCTAGGGCTTTGCCTGATCCTCCAAGTTAATTGGACTCTAGACCCTAAACCCTCAACCCTACCATGTTACTTTTTGGGGTGGCTTCAGGTTCCCTCATAAGCCCCTTTAAAGCAAACAGGGCGCCCTTTTGATTCCCAGACTACCCTTTGCTGGGCCCAGACGCCCGAAGTTACTGGAGAGAAGCTCTGGTGGTTTAACCCTCGCTCGCCCAGATTCTAAACCCTAAGCCCCAAATTTCCTAAACCCCAACAAACCCGCAAATCCTAAGCCTCAAGCTCTGGATTCCCATTCTTGAGGTCCACCTCACTAGTCTCAGCTCCGAAGGCAAGAATTTTCGAAACCCCAAGCCGAAGCCGTCAGCCTCCCAGAGCTCTGCCGTTCAGGGTTTAGGGTTTAGGGGTTAGGGTTTAGGGTTTAGGGTTTAGGGTTTAGGGTTTAGGGTTTAGAGTTTAGGGCTTAGGGCCCAGGATTTCGCGTTTATGGTTTAGCCAAATTTTTGCAGGGCTCCCAAATCCGCCAACAACCACAAGGCGGCACACCTCGAGGCCGACCTGGCAAAACCCAGCGAAGAGTCCCGCTACGCCTACCTGCTGCAGGCGGAAGGGTTTAGGGTTTAGGGTTGAGGGTTTAGGGTTTAGGGTTTAGGGTTTAGGGTTTGGGGTTTAGGGATTAGGGTTTAGGGTCGTTTCTGCAAGTTGGGGGAGGATTAAGACCCTAAAAGACCCTAAGGGTCCATGTACCTCATTATGATGTACTTGGGCCCTACTGTAAAGTCCCTAAATTAGGAGGTACTTTAAGGCCCAAGTATTCCCTATCCCCTACCCTAAACCCTAAACCCCAAACCCTAAACCCTAAACCCTAAACCCTATTTATGTCTGCAGAAGCTCGCTCGTAATTCGCCCAGTTGCGGTGTGGACCCCAACCCTAAACCCTAAACTCCAAACCCCAAAACCCCAAAACACCAAAACACCCCAAAACCAGCAATCAGCAGCCCCGTGCCGTTGTTCAGTCCTTTGTCCTCGCAAAGCTGGGCAACTGCATCGGGGGCCAGGACGATCTCACAGTTCTCGTTGGGTTTAGGGTTTGGGGTTTGGGGTTTGTGGTTTGGGGCTTAGGGCAGACTCGAACTACTCTTGAGTCGTCGTCGCGTCGTGGTGGGTGAGCGGGGGAATGCTGCCAAAATCGTCATAGGGAGGTCCTCCCACATTCTGGTTACACGGCTGCGGGTTCAGGACGCAGCCATCTAGTCACTTCTCCGAGTTGTGTTCCCGACATGTAAGTTGAGCAGTATGATCACAGGACCCTTCCGCCCCTTAAGACGCCAAAAGCAAAAGCCGGAGCCCGGACGGAAACCCCAAAGTTGAAGCTCTACACTTAAGTCAATAGTTTAGGACAAAGAGCACTTAGTCAATAGTTTAGGACAAAGAGTGGGGCCCCTTCTTCCCTTTTAAATTTGGGATTCGGGTTCCCTCATAAACCAAAAATGGTACTGGAGCTGGGCCCGTGCCAGCGGGGACGCCGTGCCTGCTTATTCCTAGGTTAGTCTTGGGCCCAGTGGTTGAACGTTCCGCTTTCTTGAGCTTCCTTTTCTCTACGAATTGCTTAAGAACCCCCCCAAAAAATATAAAGAATCTCCTTACAAGGGCAACATAGGAGTTTTCATTGTTTTTTTTTGGAGGGGGGGGGGGGGGGGGGGGGGGGGGGTTCTAAAGCATATAGTAGGTTCTGAGAAATGTGAGAGCTTCACCCGCTTCCTCTCTGGCTGTTGGAGAAGGCAAGCAACTCCGACCCAACAGGGGCTTCAGCATCGGCCTTTATAGCCGGAATGTCTCGCCCAAACCCTAAACCCTCAACCCGCAACCCTCAACCCTAAACCCTAAACCCTAAACCCTAAACCCTAAACCCTAAACCCTAAACCCTAAACCCTAAGCAACCTCCCGTCAGGATGACTTCCTCCACTGGCTTGGGGAGGAGTTGGGGTCCCTGGGCTTGGACGTGGCCCTACCTGCCGGTAGCCGCTGGGCGGCAGGGAGGGTTTAGGGTTTATTAGGGCTTGGCGCGTAGGGTTTATTGTTTAGGGTTTCGGGTTTGCTATGTAAACCCTAAACCCTAATCAGCTTGGGAATTCAAGTCCCCCAACCCAGATAGGGCAGGACGCAGGCTCGTGGCTCAGGAGTTTGGGGCGTTCAGGCTTGTTGGGCTTGAGGGCTATTAGTTACGTTGTCGTCGCAAAGTATATGGGTCCACCAGACCCCTGAGCGCTAAACCCAAACCCTAAACCCTCATCCTGGGTTCTGGAATTCATGGCTGGTGGGCGTAAGCTTGCCTGCGTGGTTAGGGTTTAGGGCTCAACCGAAGTCGCATGCAGCAACCAGCAAAAAAGCCCGAGTCAGTTTCGGGGAGGCGGCGCCATCACAACTTAGGATCAGATAGCTGCAGTCTGTCTGCGACGCTCTATGCCCAGAAGGTGCCCGTACTCCTGCTACTCAATGCTTGCCCGCGCATGTCTTTATATAGAGTACCTCAGCAGACGAGTAGCCTAAACAGCGCCCCTATACGACGCTTTGGGTCCATGATGCGGTCCCTCTATCATTCGTCCCTAAACCGGAGCCCTAAACCTCTACCTCTAAACCTCTAAAACACCCCAAAGTGCTAAAACCCTAAATCCCTGAACCCCTGAACCCCTCAACCCCAAAACTGAGCCATCGGGTCCCCTGTAAGAGTCCCAGCTTTGCAGCTATTCAAAGCTTGGCAGCCGAGTGGTACCCCTTCTGTTTGCCTTTTTTTGGTTTCTGTCGGTGGTAAGGTCTCTTTCTAGTTTGACCCCCCCAAAAAGGGAAGCAAAGGTTAAACCCTAAGCCCTAAACCCCTAAACCTTGATTTTAATCTCAATGTGGTTGTTGAGCTACCAAGAAAACCACAGCTCAGGAGGAAGAGAGGCCAGCGTTTGCCGGAGCCTGACAAAACCAAAAGCCCTGGCCACTACCGATAGTGAGGGGCTAGGGTTTAGGGTTACCCTAATGCCTAAACCCTAAACCCTAAACCCTAAACCCTAAACCCCTGTAGGGTTGTAGGGTTCAGGGTTTATACAGGTTTTGAGGGGCTTACAGCCCACATGTAAACGGCTGCGACCAGTGGTTCAGGGGCGGGATGGAAGTTCAGGGTTTAGGGTTTATAGGGTTTAGGGTTTAGAGTTTAGGGTTTAGGGTTTAGGGTTTAGGCATTAGGGTAACCCTAAACCCTAGCCCCTCACTATCGGTAGTGGCCTTAATTAGCGCTGAAGGAAGTCTTTTAAGGCTCTCGGGGTTAAAGGGGCACGCTGTTTTGCTGAACAGGGGGACATCAGGGAACCCTGAAACCTAAACCCTAAACCCAAAAAATGAAATTAGGGTACATAAGGTGCTTAAGAGCATCTGTCTCAAGCTGCCGACTTCCCGGGGGACATGCTGCGACGTTTAATTACCCTACTTGGTAACTTCAAAACCCTAAACCCCCAGAGCCCGACCCTAAGCCCTAAGCTCTGAGCTGTCGCATTTCGGCGCTGTTGCTTGACGGTTTAGGGTTTAGGGTTTAGGGTTTAGGGTTTAGGGTTTAGGGTTTAGGGTTTAGGGTTGAGGCCAATGACTCCAAGTCACCTACTGACGAGAAGAAGAGCCAAGAAGGGAGCCACGGTCTTTGGCGTCATGGTCTTGCTCAGTTGCTCAGTGGCCCTCGCTCGATCTGCCCACATTTCCCCTGGCAGGTACGAAGGCCAAGCATCCAAAGCATCCAAAGATGACGACGAAGGACATGCCAATGACTTTAAGCCGCAAGCCGACATCAGCGACAAGACTTGGTGAAGAACCACACTCCATCCGAACCCCAAACCTCCCCCCAAATCCAGGGGTCACATTTCCTACTCTTTCTGAAAGGGTTTAAGGATGAGGACAGGTTCCTCAGAAGTTCCTTATAGCGATAAACGGGAGGGGGGGTCACCTGATTTCCTAGTTCATGATTCAGAACCGGCCTAAGGCAGGAGCCACCATGATTACCAAGATTATCCCCGTGTAACCACCATAATGTTAGAGTTTGCATTTTCAGGAACATAGCCCTAAACCCTAAACCCTATACCCTAAACCCTAAACCCTAAACCCCAAATTGCACAAAATGCCATGTGCAGTAAAAATGACCCCCTGTGTCAATACCTAAGTGCTAGAGCCTCAGCTGTCCTTTTTGGGGTGAGAGTGAACGAACGCAATCTGCGACTGCCACAGCTTAATTCGGGTTTCGGGATTGGGGCTTAGGGTTTAGGGATTAGGGCTTAGGGCTTCGGGTTTAGATGCAGGGTGTTCCGACTGCAAGGCTAGGATTTTAGGCCTAATGGGTCTACGATGTTGTCTCCTTCTGAACGTCCGCTTAGTACGGGCTAGGTGCACTCACGGAACGGTTAGCCCTCAGCCCTGAAAATCCCGAAGCCATGACCCTCGACCCTAAACCCGAAACCCTAAACCCTAAACCCTAAACCCCAAGCCCCTAAACCCTAAACCCTAAACCCTAAGCCCCATAGCCCTAAACCCTAAGCCCCAAACCCTAAACCCGAACATGCGCACGATTCTGAAGGCCGAGACCTGCCCGACCTCGCGCGGGTGTCGATGCAGGAGGCTAAACCTTAAGGGCGGGCCGGGGCTGCCATCACAAAAACAGCCCTAAACCCTAAACCCTAAACCCTAAACCCTAAACCCCAAACCATGTGTTGTGTCGTGTCTTCCTGTGTTTGTACACCGGGGCCGGGGTTTAGGGTTTAAGGGCTCATGTTGCCCCTTATCTACCCCGGAAAACCCAAGGGCCATACTTCAGAACCGTTTCATTAGAGAAGGTAAGGGACCATATCTGTATCTTCCCTTAGTGTGTCCGGGAACAATGCTTGCCTTTGCATCCTCAGCAGACCTCGCATCCGCCCTCAGGGCCGCGAACCATCGGCAGCCCAAGCCCTAAGCAATCAAACGCTATAAGAGGGTTTAGGGTTTAGAGTTTACGGTCTAGGGTTTTGGGTTTAGCGTTTAGGGTTTAGGGTTTAGGATTTTTCTAGGAACCTTAGAAACCTTTAAAGAGCCCCAAGCCCGCCTGATCTTTATCTAAGGAAACCCCAAACCCTACTATAGTGGTTGGAATAAGTACTAATAGGATTCCCTTCGGGCCCCTCTAATCATACTGCTGAATAACCGCAAAACCCTATTCTATTGATTAAGGCCCCTAAACCCTAAACCCCAAACCCTAAACCCTACACTGAGCAATTCTGATTAAATCGACCCGCAAGCTGCTAGAACCCATGAGTCGTACAAACCCTAATCTCTAGGCCTTATTTTTAGCGGATTTCATGAAGATTCCCCCCGAGACCCCTTTCAGCCCCATAAGCCCCTATAACCCCTATGACCCTAAACCTAAACACCTAAAAACCCTATAAACCTAAATAAACCCTAAACCCTAAGCCCTAAACTGTGGCCCTGAACCCAAAGCCCCAAGCCCCTACAACCCCTACATCTCAGTCTTCCCTGATGACCTCGCAAGGTGCAGGCCGCGAGGTCCCGAAGAAGGAAGGCAGGGCTTGGGGTTCGGGGTTTAGGGTTTAGGGTTTAGGGTTTAGGGTTTAGGGTTTGGGGTTTGGGGTTTAGGGTTTAGGGTTTAGGGTTGCGCCCTATAAGGGGTTCAAGGGTTTAGGTGCCCTATCTAACCCCTCAGACCGAAACTGGCCAGAAATCCCTGTTTTAGGGTATTTAGGGTCTTTAGGGGTACCCTAAACCCTAGACCCTAGAACCGGTTGTAGGGTTTAGAGGTTTAAGGGTTGCAGCGTTTTAGGGTTTAAGGGTCTCGAGGCTGAAGGGTGTAAGGGTTTAAGAGTTTCAGGGTTTAGGGTTTAGGGTTAACATCTTCAGGGTTTAGGGTGCCGAAGGCTGTTGTGACTCGGCTTTCTACGCTTTCTTAGGACTGGATCCGCAAATGTCGTCTGAAGAGTTGGCAATAATTCCGTTGCATTTGGAAAATCAAAGTGACTTTGACGTGATTCATGAATTTAATATCAAGATGTATATCACGCAATGTCTTCTCCGAGGTATCTGTTTTTAATTCGAATCTCTGTTTTTTTTTTGTTTGTTTGTTTGTTGGTTTGTTTGTTTGTTTCCGCACGCCCAGATCAGGGCTTAGGGTTTCAAGTTTAGGGTTTGAAGTGCGTGGGGCTTCATAAGGGGTCTAGGGTGCATCATCGTCATCGCATGCATTCGCGAAGAGCTCTCAGAACCCAGCGCACCTGTTCAGTGTGTCTTTGAATTAGCCTACCATAGGGGTCGGAATTATTACTAATCGTATTCTCTTATGGCCCCTTTATAAAACACTATACTGACCCCCCCCCAAAAAAAAACAACTCTTCTAACTATTGAGGCCCCTACATTAGGCAACTCTTCACTTCTGTTGTCTTGCGGGAGCGGTATGTGAGCCATGGAGAACATGGCAGATGATGATGCAGGATTTGTTGATGTCTCGACGCGCCGTGCGAAGTCCGAGGGTTGAGTGTTTAGATTGCATTCGGAACCCTAAACAGTATGAGAAATCGACAAATCTGAATCAACGTTGCGTATTTCGGGAAACTAGGATGCCGAGTTGCACCTTTTCAGGTTTATGGGATCCTCAACCGTGCAGTATGAGGTTGCGGTTTCAGTTTGTTCGTTTTGTTTGGAGGGGGAGGGGTAGCCTTTTTTCAATTTAGCATTCCTTCTTTTGCTTTAAACCCTAAACCCTAAACCCTATGGTTTTTGATTGTCAGTCTTGCGACACTCTGGGTTCATACTCTTCGGCTCGAATAGCCCAAAAACCTCATGTGGGATAGCCTTTGGGCCGCAAATTTCTTAAACACGAGCCCCTAAACCCTAAACCCTAAACCCAAAGCCCTAAACCCCAAACCCTAAACCCTGCACCTTGGCTTCAGAGTTTGTTGGGCTCTCGGCGGGAGGCGGGGTTTGAGGGCTTCCTCTAAGCATTTCTTGCTCTACACTTTCTATGAACACCCTTAACCCTCAACCCTCAACCTTAAACCTTACACCCAGAACCCAACCCGAAACCCGAAACCTTAAACCCTAAACCCTAAACCCTAAGCCTTCAAGCTCCAAGCCTTAAGCTCTATAAACCTTATACCCGACACTCAACTGCTGCGCAGCGCAGGCTCACGAGTTCGTTTCCGAGGTGACTGTGGGTTGGGTTTCGGCGTTTAGGGTTTGGGGTTTAGGGTTTAGGGTTTAGGGCTAGGGTTTGGGTTTAGGGGTTAGGGTTCAGGGCTCAAGCCGCCGTTCGGTGGGGCTTAGAGTTTTAAGGTTTAGGGTTCAGGGTTAGCTAGGATCAGCTTGGAAGGAACGAACTCTGTGATCATGTCAAGAAACCTTCTCGTTGCAAATCTTGTACTTCAAAGTTTCTCGCCTTTGCTGAAGATCCTAGTTCTTGGGTGTAGGACGTTAGGGCATTATTTCGGGCCTTATGGGACCTCACTTAAGGTAGGGTTTCTGTGATTGCCGTTCTTGGTGAGTGTACAAAGGGTTTCTTACAAGCATTGCTGAGTGTATGGGTTGGGCGCTACTACAGAGGGGCAGAGGGGTATGGGGTTAGGGCTGTAGGGCTTTCTATAGGGTCTACGAGTTCAGGGCTGTAGGGTTTAAGGTCGCTTCTGGTGGGGTTCCGGGTTCTGGACCCCCACCCGGACTTGACTCTTGTAAAGCCTGGGGGCCTTAGAGCACCTAAACTTTGAAACCCAAGTCCACACCCTAAGGGTCCCTAGACCTACATGGGGAATACTTGGGCCTTAGAGTACCTCCTATACGGGGACTCTTTAGAGTCCAAGTACGCAATAATAAGGTACATGGAGCCTTAGGGCCAGAACCCTAGAGCGCTGAAGCCTCTGCCCCCCAACCTCCTCAAATGCTCTTTTCGATGCGCTGAGAGGGGAAGAGGACCCCGGGTCTGGGATGTAGAGTTTGGGGTTTTAGGGTTTAGGGCTTAGGGTTTAGGGTTTAGGGTTTGGGGTTTGGGGTTTTGGGGCTTAGTACGGTTCAGGTTTCAGGGTCTTGGGGCTTAGGGTTTTGGACTCAGGGTTTTGGCTCGTTGGAAGACAAGAGCCTTGTGTGAGCATCTCTGTTTGCGAGAGCCGGGCTTTTCCTTCCCGGGGTCGGTCTGTTTAAGGTTGGAGGTTGGGTGGGTTTTTGGATGGCTTATGCAAGGGCCGGACAAGCAAAACCCGGCAACCTTCAAACCCTAAGCCCTGTAACCCTAAACCCGAAACCCTAAACCCTAAACTCTAAACCCTAAACCCTAAACCCTGTAACCCTAAACCCTAAACCCTAAACCTCAATCCTAAAACCCTAAACCCAAACCGACCCGATCAAACTCGACAGGACTCCCGGGATGAGAGTGCGAGCAATGTCAGCACCCCCAAGCAGGCCGGCCTGAACCCATGATTTGGGATGACTTGATTTCAGGGTTTAGGGTTTAGGGTTTGGGGTTTGGGGTTTGGGGTTTGGGGTTTAGGGTTAGGGAGGATCGTTCCAGGTTTTGTGTTTGGGGCCGTGGCTCTGGGGTTGGTTCTTCTAGGCAGTCGCGCCGTGGACAATATCTTTTGATGTGGCGAGAACCGATCCGCATCAGACGATAACACTGTGTTCTACATCACACATGAGCCCAAAACCCTAAATCCTCAGACATTCAACAGGTCAACTCGATGTACGTTTTATGGAGAGTTCGAGGTTCACCCCAGAACCCAGTCCGGGTAGTTCATACTAGGTAGGCCCTTTGCTCATACTTAGAATATTGTCAGAGGCTTTGA